AGACCTCGGCTAGCTCACATGGTTATAGGAACTGCCGAACCCCAAATCCCTGGGTCAGAGAGCAGGCTGGAGACCTCGGCTAGCTCACATGGTTACAGGAACTGCCGAACCCCAAATCTGTAGTTCAGGTGGAAGGCTGGGGGCCTCAGCTAGCTCCTAGGGTGGCGGTGGTTGGTAAGTGCCATCAAGTTGGTTCCAACTCGTAGCAACCTTGCATAGGGTTTCCGAGGAGCAGCTGGTGAGCTTGAAATGCCCACTTTGTGGTTCAAACTGACCTTGAGGTCGAGTGCTTATCCTGGGATTACACCAGGACTCCAGTAGGGTTGAGGGGGCAGGTGAACCCAGAATCTCAGGTCAGGTGGCAGGCCACACCCTGAAAGCAGGGCCTCTTCCAGCTTGACATTAGCTCACAGACTGAGAGGTGACTGCAGAATCATAGCCCAGCCCAGTGGACACAGCCTTGCCCATCACAAATACAGAGCATCTGAGATACAGAAAGGGGGCCTGTGGAGTGTCAGCCCCAAGACTTCTACCCATAAGACCATGAAGGGTTTGGTGTGGCGATCCTTCTAGAACTTTTGTTGTTGTTGTTTATATATGAAAATAGAAAACCAAAAAGTCTCATACATGCATGCTTCACACATGCACTTGATAAAACTGACGTTTGTCAGCAGTACTGCTGCCCCACTCCCCATGAGCCGTTGACTGTGCGTGTTCTGCAACCTCGAATGTCATCATCAGGGTCATTCCCAGAGGCAAAACCAGGACTGCAGAGAGCAGGTGGGCCAAGGCCCTCTTGCTTCAATTTTCAGCCGATTCCGTCTCATAGCAACAGGACAGGACCGAGTAGTACTGCCCCTTACAGTTTATGAAACTGTAAATCTATATTCATCTTTCTCCCAAGGAGCAGTTGGTAGGTTTGAACTGCCGACCTTGCAGTTTACACACAGCGAGCACTGGTATGTGTCTCTCACGGTCACGCTTCAGGAATCCTTGCTAGTCAGTAGTTGTCATGTCTCAAACCACCGTGATGTCACACGGTTCAACCTGCACCGCCTCACCTGCAGACTACGCCCCATCACGGTTAGGGGCCATCTTTGCCCCCAGTTGATGCTAGCAGGTGTCAGCTGTGGCTGAGTCCCAGGTGGTAAAACTAGACCCCACACTGCCAAGGAAGAGCTCAACTAGATGTGACCAAGGGGGTGCTCGTTTCTGAGAGAGTTTAGTGCGCTAAAGGCCAGACTCTGTTGATGTGCATCACTGCACCAGAAAGCAAACCAAACCCACTGCTGGCAGGTGGATTCCAACTCATGGTGACCTTGTAGGACAGAGCAGACTGATCCCTAGGGGTTCTGAGGCAGTGGGTTCCAACTGCCAACCAAAACTTAACCCACCGCACCACAGGGCACCTGTGTTGTTGTTGTTATATACCATCAAGTCAGTCTGGACTCACAGTGAGCTCATATGGTGTTTCCGAGGCTGCAAATCTCTACAGAAACCAAATGCCTCATCTTTCTCTCGTGGATTCAAACTGCCGACCCTGTGGTTAATAATCATCTAACTTGTAACCCCCTATACCACCGGGGCCCTAGCTGTCCAGTAACCTCAGCAAGAGCCAAACTCATTCAGTCTCAAGATAGAGCCAGTGAGTTGTTCCATGAGGCTGTGAGGTGTGTGTGACGCCCGCCCTCCTCCCCCTGCCCCTGGGTCTCATCAACACTGGAGGGAAATTCATCCAGCTAGGTCAGGGGTTGTGCAGTTTCCACTGTGCAGCCAACTCCAAAAAACCCTCTGAGAACTGAAAAAATAGGTAATCAGTGAGTCAGTAAAATCAGTCAGCCATCTAGCTGCAAACATCAGTACATATTCAGTTATATCCTTGGGTGCATCGAGTCCATTTCTGACTCATAGCAGCCCCATGTGACAGAGGAGAACGGCCCTATAGCATTTTCTTGGCTTTCATCTTTACAGAAACCAGTTACCTTGCTTTTCCACAGAGCCACTGCGGGGTTCAAACCACTGACTTTTCACTTAACACCCAGGTGTTTAGCTATCATGCCACCATATTGGTTTATCTTTGTCTGTACTAAACAATCAAATAGTTGGAAATATTTCCTCAGTGGTTTGAGACAATGGCTAAAGCAGAACTAATATGGTGCTGTAGGATAAGCACTGGACCCCAAAATCAGTTTGCATTGCAAGACTGGTAGTTCAAACCCACCAGCCACTCCTCAGAAACCCTATCCAGGATTGCTATGAGTCGCAACTGACTCGATGGCACTGAACAGCAATAAGAAGGCAGAGCTACATGCCCTGCCTGTGTTCAAGCATGATCACTCGTGACCAAGTTTACCCCAGCTCTTTCCTCCTCTCCCCCCCCCGCCCCCCCCAGGGAGGATTGTATGCCACACTCGGCAAAGCGGCAAGTGAGCACTCTTTCTCTCAACTGTACTTTGGAATTTTCATAGCACACTCTGGAAAAAACGAAATGGTATTCTATGATAATGACATTTTACTTCAGCTGCTCCTCGGAAACCCTATAAGAGTGGCTAAGGGTCAGAACCAACTTGGCGGCACTTAACACCAACAACAAAATGTTTTAAAGTGTGGGGGTTAACAGTGACAATCTAATACGTTAATTTCCAGGTACGAATGCCAAATGTTAACAGTGTTAGGGTTGCTAGCAATGCAAACTCAGTGAGCCTTATTTATTTATTTTTTTATGAATCTGTTTCTGCCACCTTGGTCTTGATAAATTTTTATGATAAAAACTAAAGGTTCCTCTCTTAATATTGAGGTCCATAGTATTGGAATACATGGAAAATCTGTCCAACAGCCCCTGCACAGATTATTTTATGATTCACCCCATGTGAATACCAACACAGATGAAATTTATATCTGGTGTGTAGCCTTCTTAGGATTCCGAGGATTTTTTTTTTTTTTTTAAGTTAGCATTTTCCAACTCATAGTATTGCAAAACAAGTCCTTTAGGATGGCTTAAGTTATGCCACAATCCAGTATGATGGTGGTGGTTAAGTGCCGTGGAGTCGGAACCAACTCGTAGCGACCCTATACAGGGTTCCTGAGGCTGTAAATCTTTATGGGAGCAGAAAGCCTCATCTTTCTCCCGCAGAACTGCTGGTAGTTTCGAACTGTTGACCTTGCCATTCGCAGCCCGATTCATAATCACCACGCTGCCAGAGCTTTAAAAAAACCCAAGATCTTCTTAATAGAGCCCTTAGATACATGCATCACAAATTAGCCAAAAATAAGTGATCTTTGCTGGAAAGGAAGGAGCCCTGGTGGCTTGAGACCGAAAGACCTGGCCGTCTCCTTCCATAGACATGACAACCGAGACACCCCTATGGGGCCATTCTGCTCTGTCACTTGGGGTGCACTAAGTAGGAACGGACAACCTCACCGGGGAAGATTGGCCGGTACATCCATTGAAATCCTCCAGGGTGTGATCCACTAAGAGAATGGCAGGCCAGGGCCTCACCCTGTTTCGGATGCCCATGACCGTTTCCCATTTGGCCTCCCGGGTAAGAGTGCCGGTTCTGTTTGTCTTGTGCAGACGAAGGCAGCGAGGTAGACAGCGAGATGGATGAAGAACTGGATGACCCCTCCGAGCCCCAAGCCAAAAGAGAGAAGACCGAGCTGGCCCCGGCCTTCTCCGTGGGCTGCATGCAGCCCGTCCTGGAGAGCAGCGTGCAGTCCAGTCTGCTGAGCCCCATCCACAGCGAGCACGTGGTCACCAGCACGCAGACCATCCGGCAGTGCAGTGCCACCGGCAACACCTACACCGCCGTCTAACGTAGCACCCCGCAAACCTGCTGACGTTGGGCTCCAGCGGGGCCTACGTCTGAAGGTGGACCGTTGTCAGATTCTCTCTGTGTTAAGCATTAACCTTTTTGGAGTTGTGAAATGGAATGGGTGGATGTATTTTGCCAGGTCTCTTTCTCTCTCTTTTTTTAAAGAAAAATTTTTAATGTAAACACATTATTTGCCTCTTTATAATAAGAGTTTTGGGGTTGTTTTTGGTTCTATTGCTTAGTTTCAGGTGTCCCGAAGGAGTTTTGCAACCCTTAACGTCGATGTTTTCGCTTTGCTTCTAATTAAACCGTAATTTAAATTTTTTTATTTTATTTTTATTTTTTTGTAGCTGATAACGATTTTCTTGGTGACTGTTAGTGGTCATGTATGATTTCACGTGTAAGTTTCTCCTGAGATGCACTTCGGTGAAATGTCGAGAGAAATGCATGGTTTTCATTTACACTGGAGGCATGCCCTTTGGCAGCAGATACATCCGATTTGCTTCTGAAAGGTGCTTTTTTTTTTTTTTGTTTTTTGCTTTTTTTTTTTAAAACCCCATCCCACACCCCCTCCCGGGACAGAACCATTAAGACACTATTTTGCTAACACTTTGGAGGACAGAGAGAAAATACAGAGCCAATCTGAGTACCACGCTAGAGGGCTGGGAAGGTTATCTACTCGTCTCGGCAGAACTGTGGAGCTGTGTATTTCTCGGGGTTAGAGGGACTGACAGCCACCGGAGGCGATGCGCATGCGCATGCCCCTGGCACACGTGTTGAAACCAGGCTCACAACGCAAGCTTCCGTTAAACCTTGAATCTGACCTGTGACGTTTCAAAGCAATCCCTCTGTGTAAAGACTACTGACTCTGTATTAGGGACCACTGCGTAGATGCATTCTGCTGGGAAGTGGGGGTTCTTAGATTTAGATACTGAAGCTGAAAAAGAAATGACTTGACTGTTTTTCGTTGTTTTTTGGTTTTTTTTGTTTTGTTTTGTTTTGTTTTTTTTCTAAGTGTACATGCTACTTATGCTGAGCTGGACATACAGGAAATCATTCCATTTGGATGACTTTCTTTTATTCCAGATCTCTTTCCTAATAGTAGTTCAATATGCTGCTATTATTAAAAAAGAAAGAAAGAAAATGTATAGAGTACAAGGAATGTAGCAACCTGCATATAGTTCTTTCCTTCAACATGATTTCCTGGTTTTCTAAAGTGTATGGATTTAAGTTCTTGAGCAGAAGCTGAAGGCAGTGTCCCTGGTCCACCTCACTGTTAACTGATTGCCCATTCTGTCGGGTTTGTGTGGGTGGCTGGATGGACCATTGCCGTTGAAGATTGTACATCAGGGATCATTGTACCTCTGTTACTATAAGGTGCCTTAAAACAGAACTGAAGCTAAGGGTTAGTATGGTTTCCTTTGTTCCTGTGAATGGTTCTTCAGGCCATTTGACAAGGTGTACCTGTCGTTTCCAGATTCCCCAAATAAGGACAGGTCACATGTTCTTCCAAGGAAATGTAGAGGAAAAAAAAACAAGACAAAAAAAAACAAGACAAAAACTCCCCCTGTTTGAGGAGGGACCATGTACCTATTTTGTATTCTCCCAGCTGAATATTACTTGATTACAAATCAGATTGCTAAAGGGCATTGGAAAAGCAGACTAGTGTAAATACCAACTCGCTGCATAGCATCGCCTCTGTTGACCACCCTTTTCTAGGTATAATTTCAGAACATTCACAAAATAAGTACACCTTTTCCAGTCTCAGTGTCTGTCTGTGCGTCCAGGTGTCCGTGTGTCCACACCTACGCTCGTGTTCCCGTGGGGCGGGAGCCTGCTACAAAGTTAAAAGGTGAGACCACAAAGAGGACCAGAGGATTCCAGGAAGAAGGTCGTGGGGGACAAGAATGGAAGGAATAGGGACTTCAATTTTTCCACGACCTTTTGGAGTCCCCCTCGTATACAACTCACCCCGCTTTAATTTACACGGAAACCCAAGGTTCTTTTAAGCGCTAAATGACTGAAATAGACAACACGCTCATCCATTCATTTAAACCGTTTCCAAAAAATAAATAAAGCCAAAAAAACGAATTTAAGAGAAAGATAGCACAATGAGGCATCTATTGGAACACAAGATGTTTCTGTTTTCAGTTTTGAAAGGGGGGGACGAAGAGCCGGTCTATAAAGTCAAAAATACCAAATGGCTTATTGGGGAGTCTACAGTGTATTTATGCTGTTGTTACTTCATTGCCTTAGGTGACTCATATAACTAAGACCCAACTAAGTTTCTTAAGGAAAATGGAAATGATTTAGATGTAATTTTTTTTTTTTACATTTATTCAAATTTGTATATTTCACAACTCATATATTTGGACGTCTTTGCTAGCTAGCATCAAGCATCACCTTTGTCTAAATATCATTTGAATGCCCATCCCTTTATTTAACCCCCAAAGGCAATGAATTTGCACCATCATTCAAAAGATTTTAAAAAAGCAAACAGAACATCTTAAGCTACAAAGAGCTCCTTCATTGTGCATTAGAAAATGTTTTCAGGTAACATTAAAATCAACAAAACAAGACACTCTTCATTTCGTTTCACCTCCCCTTTCTGAATGTTTTCTCCCGCTACCCCCAGAACTTTATCTGTATTGGACTAAATGTGTTGACCGATTTCATTCTGTTTAGTGAACAACTTTAAGTGTGTCTGTTGTCCCTGTTTCTTTCCATCTTGCTGTTGGATGTTTCTGTATTGTTAGAGGGCTCTATTAGTCATGAGCAAATGTAAATTGATGAACGTTAGGGATTGGGACCCACTAGGATTCCATTTCTCTTCCAGCTGTCCATGGTTTGTTATAAATTAGGACAGACTAGAAATGAAGAGATGTTACTAAATCTCAACGTAGTCCAAACACTCCCATCTCCCTCTGAACACAGTGAGGAAGGTGAATCGTCTGTAACTTGCAGCTGCTATACAAAGACTACCTTCCGCTCAGTGACTTAGCAGTTTTTTTGTACTTTACAATACAACACGCACACTCCCTCAACGTGCATCTTAACCAATTTGCTATTTGACTGGTGAAATATTTGAAAATGAAAATGTAACTTTTACATTTGAGCAAACAGGAGGAACTCCCCTGACTGCCTTCACTGGACCTCTTACTCCCACCTTGTTCATTCGTAGCCATTGTGACTTTTTAAAATAGTAGCAGACACCAGTAATACTGTCGGAGTAGATCTGTTGACAGTGCACATTTTAAGAAGGACTTCTTCACGTTTTCTGACGTTATAACTGAACCCAAGTCATGGAAACAATCTATGGAGTAGGCCAGATGCTACCTACCCTTCCAGTGTCAAGTAAGAAAGGTGGATTGGCTAACTTTAGATTTCAGAAAAGTGATTTCCACATACTCAGATTGAGTATCTGGGACATCAAGCAATCTCCACAATAAACTCCAAGAAGCATACCAACAAGATTTGCATTTGTGAAACCAGGAAACAGTCGAATGAATCGGGGAGTCCCCTCCTCGGAACATAGGGCTCGATTCTCAGATCTTTCTTTGGCTACCAAGTTGCTGGTCACTTTTTCAAAACTTTCATCCAAACTTTGTTTGGACAAATTGTTAAGTCTTACTGCCTTTTCAGAACTCCACTTTCCTCTTGGGGCTTTTTCTTCTTTTCTTCTGGTACTATAGAGCACAGTTGACACGCATTTCCTTAGATGCTGTCCCTTAGAAACAAACGTAGATCCTAGAAGACAGTTTTCTTACAGCATACCTAAATCCTGGGGGGGTGCACCTCTGACTGCCTTTGATTTGTAGGAGATGAGAATGAACGCATTCTTGCATTCAGGGGTGAGTACGGCTGCAATGCTTCTGCCATGGCTTGCCATACCAACATGCTCTTCTCAAACACATGGTGCGTGTGCAAATGTTTCAAAGGTCTCCAAATCATATATCTGAGCTGTCTAAAACCATGCTGTGCTTGAAATATTTACATAAAAGGAAGAAAAAGAAACAATTGTGTCACTGTGATATTGGTCCTCCCAGTGTGGACACAAGTAAAAAGCAAACATCTTGCAAGTCTTTGAGCAGCAGTGGAGGCATTCTTTCTGCATAACCAATTGACCTTTGTTATGACTTCCTCCCACCCCCTGCCAAATTCCTGGTGAGACCAGTATAACCATCCAAGCATCGCAATCAGAATGGTAGGGACGAGTCCCATGCAAGCGTGGCGGGAGGAGGCAGGCATGCAAAGCTCTTGGAAATTGGCCCCTTTCTCTTGATCAGAATGACCTCCATGTAAACGCTCAGAAACCAATCAATGAATGGAATCTTTGTACTTCTGCAAGTTTGGTGATTTAAAGAGAACTGGAATCTAAGCATTCATTCCGTGCTTAGTTTCTAGTATTAGAAAACCCCTTTGATGTAATGCCTTGTATGAACCCTTTGAGCATTGTAAGATATACAATGGGGGACAAAAGCCTTTCAGATCATTTATTTAGACTAGACCGGGAAAAAAAAAAATATACTCTATATCCAAATGTCTAATTATGCTGTTTTTTTTTGTTTTGTTTTGTTTTGTTTTTAAACAGGGGGTTGGGTGGGGTAGGAAGAGAAAGTGTTTCCATGAGAACACTTGAATTTTATATACAACTCTTCATGTTCTTCAAGAGGGCTTGATATATTTATTCCCAAATATTCACTGCCATCTAATTAAGTGTACTGTTTACAGAAAAAAAAAAAAAAAAATCAAACTTTTCTAGCCTCACATCCTGACTCTAGAAAAGGAAAACAGATAATACCTGGTCCTGTAGACTTACGTCATCATTGATTTCTGCACATCTGAAAGTACCTAGATTGCCTTTAGAAGGTATAATAAAGAAAAGGGTTATATTTCTTTCTTTGTTTGTTTGTTTCCTCCAAAACAGCAAGATCTCATTTATTTCTCTTTAGGAAGTAGAAATGTAAATGAAGCTTTAGGAAGAAATGAGTTGAGTGGATA